AACACGCGTAAGGCATAAATAAAGATTAACGCAGAAGGCCGAGAGAGCGCTTACCGCGAGATTGTCCAATCGCGGGGCTCTTATCCGGGGAAATAAATTCCTCGTACGAGCATTGTCTTATTCCATTGCCTTTACCGCGTTATCCGGGAGTAAGAATAGAAAAAGAAGAAGAAGAGATCAAGAGGGAGAGGAAAGGAAAATATAAATAAAGCCGGAGGAATCGAAACGGCGCGACTGGAGGAGCCGCATCCCCGGGGCTCCTCCGTCTTTTTAATGGACCCGGACTACGATTTCGGAGGGAATCGTCGAGGAACCGGTTGTTCCCCTCCCCGGAGGAACTACGAAACGAACCGGCACGTCCGTGTGAACCGATTACGACCTTTCGGGGGTACCCACCACGGGGAGGCTAACGAGCCGGGTTCGCTCTCGAGAGAGATCTGGCTCTCCTCTTTTCCTCCCGACCTTAGGACGTTCCTCTCCCGGAAATTTCGAGGGACCCTTCTCCTTCCGATTTTCCAAAACGGATCCCGGGGTAAGGGTTCCCTCTTCTCTCGATTTTCCAAAACAAATCCCGGGGTAAGGGTTCTCTCTCCTTCCGATTTTCCAAAACGAATTCCGGGGTAAGGGTTCTCCTCTCTCCTCTCGATTTTCCAAAACGAATCCCGGGGTAAGGGTTCTCCCTCCTTCCGATTTTCCAAAACGAATCCCGGAGTTCCCTCTACTTCCGATTTTTCAAAACGAATCCCGGGGTTCCCTCTCCTTCGGATTTTCCAAAACGAATCCCGGGGTAAGGGTTCCCTCTCCTCTCGATTTTCCAAAACGAATCCCGGGGTAATGGTTCTCTCTCCTTCCGATTTTCCAAAACGAATCCCGGGGTTCCCTCTACTTCCGATTTTCCAAAACGAATCCCGGGGTTCCCTCTCCTTCCGATTTTCCAAAACCAATCCTGGGGTAAGGGTTTCCTCTCCTTCCGATTATTCAAAAAGAATCCCGGAGTTCCCTCTCCTTCTGATTTTCCAAAACAAATCCCAGAGTAAGGGTTCGCCCTTCTTCCAATTTTTCAAAACGAATCCCGGGGTTCCCTCTCCTTCCGATTTTCCAAAAAAATCCCAGGGTAAGGGTTCCCTCTCCTCCCGATCTTCCAAAACGAATCCCAGGGTAAGGGTTCCCGTAGAAGCCGCCGACGACTCCCTCGGTCCCCGTCCCACCTATTTGCGAGGCGACACGCAAAAGCTTTACGATCGGGACCCCTCTTTTTGCGCTCTTTATCCTACACGGATGTATGCGTAAACGAGGGCAGGAACAAGTTGAGAGGACGATCGACAAACCGGCTGCCCTGGCGTCCCCGAGTTCGATTTTCCTCCTCTTAGGCGGCCCGATCGCTCCCTCCTCGCCTTTTATACCTCCATTTGCATATTCGTTCCCACGTCGCTTCTACTTATTTTTAGGAACTCCCCGCCAGGACCCGTCGCGCGATATAGTTACGTGGGCGACGGCGAGCTCGTTAACCGCGCGCCCCGGCAATTCCTTGCGACTTCCGCCGCGGCCGCGGTTCCGGACAGGAGTCCTGCCTCCTCCCTTCAGGGCTACGTCTGTTATTTCAATTGACCCAAACACTCTGACACGATAAACAAATAAATTAAACGCGAGAAAATTAGGCATCTTTCCTTCCTAACTTCTCCCCGATTACATTTTCTTTCCCAGGCCATTAGATAAGTAACCTGGATAATGCCGATTTACTATCAATATGTAATTTAGAAAACAAATCTTGAAAATCTTGAAAATTGTGATTTTATCGTTTTCGAGGTTGAGGGAGGTTTTGCATCCTTTTTTTTTACCGTCCATTGTCTGTTAAATTGACCCAAACACTCTGACATGATAAACAAATAAATTAAACGCGAGAAAATTATGCATCTTTCCTTCCTAACATCTCCCCGATTACATTTTCTTTCCCGGGCCATTAGATAAGTAACCTGGTTAACGCCGATTTATTATCAATATGCAACTTAGAAAAGAAATCTTGGAAATCTTGAAAATGGTGATTTTATCGTTTTCGAGGTCGCGGGAGGTTTTGCATTTTTTTTTAATCGTCTGTTGTCTTTTAAATTGACCCAAACACTCTGACGCGATTACAAACAAAGTAAACGCGAGAAAATTAGGCATCTTTTCTTCCTAACTTGTGCCCGATTACATTTTATTTTCCGGGTCATTTGATAAGTAACCTGAATAACGCTGATTTATTATCAATATGCAACGACCAATATCAGTACTACCCACAGGGTAGGCACGTAAATTCATTCAAGTGACTGCCGAACCTCTAAGCCATAAAAAAAATCTTGAAAATCTTGAAAATCTTGAAAATGGTCACTTTATCGTTTTCAAGGTTACGTAGGTTTGCATCTTTTTTTTTCTTTAACGTCAAGGAGCACTCCTATAGGTTCCTATAACTCCTACTAACTATTAACTCCTATTAACTCCACCCGTCGTAAACCTCCAAGCGAAGTCGCCCCCTTCCGATCAATTCGAATCCCCTCCATCGATTAATCGATTGCCGATTTTTCCCAGATCCGCGTTTACGGCTAATTGACCGAGGAAGATCCAGCGTTTCCGGCCCGTTCGATAAAGCGATCCCGCGGCGCAATGTCAGAGGCAACGTACCCACGACCTGGAGCAAGTGTATCGGATACTAGCCGCGATTACCGTGATTGCTCCGACATTAGCTCGAATTATGATAAATGTCCGCAATAACGGGTTAACGTAACCATTACACCGGATTTATAGTAACGACCCCCCGCAATCGTAATTGGCAATCGCGGGGTGGCCGCCGCCGATCCACCTGACCGATCTGCCTCGCCGTGAAAAAAAAAAAATTAATAAATAAATAACTAAAAAAAAAACAAGGAATCGAATACAAAAAGAAGAGGTCATACAAAATAACGCATACAGGTGGCATCACATTTACTCGTTCCCAAAATTCCGAGGTACCCTCTCCGAGGACTCCGTTTCCTCCTCGTCGATGGTGGTCGCCGTGCTCGCACCAGACCCGACATAATAATATCTTATCACCGGGTTTGCAACATAACACAAGCCAAACGAGTCGAGCCGATAACACTCCCCATTCGCCGGGACACTGGATCGAAAGAGACATCCGAATCTCTGTTCGAGGTCGCCCGATCCGTCAGGGAGAGGATCGTGCCCGAGGGGGGATTCACCCAGGAAATCACGTATTTTAACGCTTTAAATCACGTGGGAAATCAGCTGGACATCGCAAGCATAAATTGCTGGAAACCATTGGAAATCGTCGAACTTTTATGATTTTAAGGTCACTGATCTTCAAGTGAACAGCCGCTCGACCGTACCGCTCGTATTCAAGAAAAGGGAATACTCCCAATTGACGTCAAGTCAGAGAGTCGTCCATTTGGCATAAATTACTGGAAATCATTGAAAATCACCGAAAAATGTCATGATTTTAAGGCCGAACGTAGCATTGTTATTCATCATATGAAATCAAAGGCAATTTGTTCTTAAAGAAGGTAATCGCTTTCACTGATCTTCAAGTGAACAGCCGCTCGACCGTACCGCTCGTATTCAAGAAAAGGGAATACTCCCAATTGACGTTAAGTTAGAGAGTCGTCCATTTGGCATAAATTACTGTAAATCATTGAAAATCCCCGAAAAATGTCATGATTTTAAAGCCGAACGTCGCATTGTTGTTCATTATATGAAATCAAGGGCAATCTGCCTTTAAAGAAGGTAATCGTTTTCACGGATTCCCAAGTGAACAGCCGCTCGACCGTACCTCTCGTATTAAAAAAAGGGAATACTCCCAATCGACGTCAAGTCAGAGAGTCGTCCCTCAATTCGCATAAATTAATCCGTCAATATATTCCGCAGGGACGGTTGTTTTTATCGCACGCTCGATACACCCGGGCCGTAAAGTCGAGACGGCACCGCGATTCACCTGGAATTAGCATACAGGTATTCCTTGACGACGTGACAGGGGTCACCGGGAGAGGCTCCGAGTGCTATACAAGGAACTTTCTAGAGAGCGTAAAGAATAATTCCCGGTACGATAGTACAAAATCGAAGGATAATTCTTCGTTATACAATTGTACAAAAGAGTCGAGTCGAACGAGGTTGGCCTTGAACGCGAGGAAGACCCCCGTCGAGGGCTCGCTCTTTCCAGAGAGTTTAAAAAAATAATTCCCGGTACGATAGTATAAAATCGAGGGATTGTCTTCGATATACAATTGTACAAAAAATCGAGCGGAACGAGGTTGGCCTTGACCGCGAGGAAGATCCCCTCAGAGACTGGGCGCTCTTTCTAGGGAGCTTAAAGAAATAATTCTCGATACGATAGTATAAAATCGAGGGATAATTCTTTGATATACAATTGTACAAAAAATCGAACGGAACGAGGTTGGCCTTGAACACGAGGAAGACCCCCGTCGGGGGCTCGCTCTTTCCAGAGAGCTTAAAAAAATAATTCCCGGTACGATAGTACAAAATCGAAGGATAATTTCTTCGATATACAATTGTACAAAAAAATCGAGCCGAACGAGGTTGGCCTTGAACCCGAAGAAGACCCCCGTCGAGGGCTCGCTCTTTCCAGAGAGTTTAAAAAAATAATTCCCGGTACGATAGTACAAAATCGAAGGATAATTCTTCAATATACAATTGTACAAAAAAGAATCAAGCCGAACGAGGTTGGCCTTGAACGTGAGGAACACTCTGATCGAATGCTCGTTCTTTCCAGAGAGCTTAAAAAAACTATTCCCGATACGATATTACAAAATCTAAGGATAATCCCTCGATATACAATTGTAAAAAGAAATCAAGCCGAGCAAGGTTGGCCTTGAACGCGAGGAAGCCCCCCGTCGGGGGCTGGAAGCTCTGGGCCACCTGTTGCGTCGCGGCGCCGTCCCCTGCCCGCGCCTCGTCAACCACGGAGGGCCGAAAAACCCTCCGTGACCGCGGGCCGCATATTTCCCCGTGCATACCGTGTCTCAGGGAAGCAGCCAGGTGAGTCCCGGCGAGGAGGATCACCGCCGCCGCCAGGGCGCGGCCCTTGGCGTCCAGGGCGGTCGTCGAGTCCGGGCGGCGAGGGGCCCGAGCCTCGGGCCCGGCGTCGTTCCCGTGGGGCCTGGGCCCCGCAGCCCGCGCCATCCCGCCGCGCGGCCCCCGTGCTCGTGAGCGCACTGACACTGGAGCGCGGCCGCGCACACGGACACGCTATGGGCACACCTACGCGCTCGCGGGCGCGCACGCGCGACACGACCCTGCCGACACACTTTGCGGCGAGGCCGAGAGGGGTGGCCGGGGCGGGGTGGCGGGCCGGGGGACAGTCCAAGCCGTCAGGATCCAACAGGGATCCAGCAGGGATCGCACGAGAGCGCTTCTCGGCAGGCAGGCCTCTTCTAGTCCATGGCTCGAGCGGGCCCGCGTTCACCCGGTCGCGGTCGGCGGCCGACTGAGCCGCGAATCGGCCGCTCCAAGATGGCGGGCCGCTGGCCCCGCGGCGCCCCCCGGCGGACGGTCGGCGAACTAGCGGGGCCGCGCGACCGGCGGCCCCTTCCCGGGATCGGCGCCGTCCTCCCGATCGCTCGGGTCCCTTCGAAGGTGTTTCTCGACCCCAGGAACTCGTCGTAGCGACGGGACGAGAAAGGAGCGACCCTCTAGGGGGTTTTGGACCTGGGGATTTTCTTTCCAGAGTACCAGAGAGGCAGGGTACTCGCAGGAAACAGCCCGGCGTTTCTCGTTTCGATGACCTAATGCACTCGAAAAGCGAACGAGCACCGGTACTAGCCGAATACAATTACGCTCGTGTACTCGCCGCGCATAGCGGGGGCATTCGATGGCCGGAAGTTGGCTACGTAGCCGGAATTTCCGGAGGAAGCGATCAGCGCGGAATCGCTCGATTATGCCGCCGGTTGGCCGATGGATTTCCATAGAGTCGAGGGATACCCGAATACCGGGGCGTCCCGACGCTTCTGCAGACGCCGTCGCGTGACTCCGTCCCGGAGATTAATATCTGATTTCCGCCACGCGACTAGTTCCCGGCGACGATAAAGAACGCTCCTTTCGGACGTGCCCCTCGATGAGCAAAAACTACGCGAAGACCGATCGCTCGCTTCCCTAGCGTCGTGCCAATTAATGCGGATGCCTAATTAATAATTCTTGCCTTATTAAGGTGAAGTGAAACACGTCGGGGAACTTGATCGACGTCGATGAAGAAGGTTTTTCTGAATGCCTACGTTTCCGACGTTGGTTTTTATATCGACAGCTGGGTCGAATTATATTGCGTATTGTACCAAATGGCATACTCCACCTGTCGTTTTCGTACAATAATTATAAAGAAATCGAAGTAAAGAGACCTCGTATTGCCATCGTTTTGGCATAGAAGCGCATACGACACTTTTTTTTGCTTTTATCCCGTTCAAATGCGAGTTTATCGACTACCAGAGTGTTCTAAATTGTCGTAAAATTGTCCTAACCCTTTCGATTCTCATATCAGAGCCTTCGATAATTGCATATTGATCGAAATATGAGAGCTCGACGCCATTTTGGTTCTGGTTTGGACAGAGTTAAAAATTTTTTTTAAAAAATCCAAATTTTGAATGTGTCAGGACAATTCTTAGATGATCAGAAGTGACATGTCAAAGTTTCGGACAGTTTGGTCTAATACCCTTAAAAAAAGGTGTTGTATTCGAATCGACTGATTAGAAGGGGGTTTCACTTCACCTTAATAATTATAATTTCTCGCATTAGGGCTCTTCGAGACGCGTACAAGGAATACCTCATTAACGGTTTCTCGACGAATTCTTGGCGCCTCACCTGCCCACCGACCTTCGTAATGAGGCGTTCCGTTAATTCGATGACGCCGTTCCGCTCTAAGACCCCGCAATGGCGAAAACGGGCCTCCACGTCTAATTCCAGGACATCCTCGCGCGAGGTCCCCGTTTCGTTCGAAATCCCTCCCAGTAAATATAATCGACGCCTCGCCGAAACCTAACCCGAAAGACTCGCCATGCAAATCGGTAGACCTGGAAAGCGGCTTCCTTCCTCAGCTCGTTAACCTTCGCAATGACACGACGCGTTACTTAACCTGAACTGCAGGAAAGCGCGTAATTTCAGCCTTCGGAGGAGTCCGCCTTCCGGAAGAGGAGCGCGGAACGAGGATGGGAGGAGGTCCCATTCCCGCCCCCGTGTCGGCCGTTTCGAAAGGAGAGAGAGAAGGAAAATGAAAAAAAGAGAAAAAAAAGGATAGGAAAACGAGCGTCGTTACGCAATTCCCACGACGTCGACAATTAACGAGGGATCGCGCGGACGTTCCGGGTTATTTGTCGAGTCCAAGGTCGCCCCCGGTTACGTCCATTTTTCCAGCCCACCAGGAATCGGATGGGTGTTCCAGGCGAGGGCGTCGCGACGTCGAGACTCTGAGGAAAAGCGTCCGCGTTGGAGATGCCTACGCAGAAGAGGAGACGAGTCCACCGAGCTGAGAATTTTCCATGGCGGACGCCGACCAACGGAACACGTGTCCGCGTCGCCGGTTACGTTCGTCCCCGTAGCCAGAGTTAGCTCGAGGAATGGCAAAACCAGTCTACAAGGAGGATGTTGCAACGCTCCTGCAATTATTCATGCATCCTCCTAGAGAGGATCCGTGTCATCCTCTTCTACGAGAGAGGCCGGGAGCGGAGGCGCTCTCCTCTCGACTGTTACCGACGATTGGCGGCCATCTTGGAGGCCGGTTCCTCGCCGAAAGGAGTCGGCATATCGGCTCTCGTCTCTCTCTTAATACATAAATTACTTAATTAGCGAGGAAAAAACCCCTTCCGAAACGCCGCGCGGATTTTAATCGCGGACGTAGGAGAGCGCTCTCCTTCCAACTGGTTACGGACAAGTGGCTCCGGTCTACGGCGTGCTACATTTACGCGGATCTGGGAACTCGGGTGAATTCGCGGGGAACGACCTAACGTTCCTCTAACGGCGGGACCTCCGCGATTCCCCGAGAAACTTTCACGCGTTCGCCGCTCCTGCCGACTGCACAGCCGGTCGTTTGTCCTCCGTACTGCGCTCGGCGAATTTCCTTTTCGTTTCCTCCCGTACATGCGTGCCCTCTTCGTCCCCTTCGTCCTGTTTCGTCCTCTTCGTGCTGCTTCGTCCTCTTCGTCATGCTTCCCGAAGTCATCTCCCTTCATGCGTGTCCTCTTCATCCTCTTCGTCCTCCTCGTCCTGCTTCATCCTCTTCGTCCTCTTCGTCCTGCTTCGTCCTCTTCGTCATGCTTTCCGACGTCACCTCCTTTCGACAAAAAGAAAAAAAAAAATGAAACGATTACTTCCGATTACCCTTAAGGCGTTACGAAAGCGTCAAATGTACATCGAGCAGTGAAAGTATTTATAAAACATTTCGCCAAGCTGGATGCACCGAATAATTTGAAACATTAAGGTGAAGTGAAACCCCCCTCGAATCAGTCGATTCGAATAAAATACTTTTTTTTTAAGAATAATGGACCCAACTGTCCGAAACGTTGACACACGACTCGTGATCGTCAATGAATTGTCCTGACACATTCGAAATTAGGATTAAAACAACAAGTATTAACTTAACCCAGATCAGAACTAAAGAGGTCTTATATTTCGATCGATATCCAATTATTGAAGGCTCTGAAATGAGAAACGAAAGTGTCAGGACAATTGTACGACAATTTGGGACACTCTGGTAATCGAGAAACTCGCAATTCAACGGGATAAAAGCCAAAAAAAGTGTCTTATCCGCATCTATGCCAAAACGACGGTAATACGAGGTCTCGGAGTGAAAATTTAGTTGACACGGAAATCACAGATGGCGCAGGGGGTCCCTCTGCAGTCACTTAGGGTCTCGAAAAGCATGAATCCAGGGGATTTCTGGAGATTTTACATCGATTTCTTAATAATTCTTGTACGAAAACAACAAGTGGAGTATGCCATTTAGTACAATGCCCAATAAAATTCGACCCAGCTGTCGATATAAAAACCAACGTCGGCAACGTAGGTATTTAGGTAAATCCTCATTACCAACGTCGATCGAGTTCCTCTACATGTTTCACTTCCCCTTAACCCGAGACCGTAACACCTTCAAGCCTCGTCCTCTCAGTTCTTATTCGTACCGGCGGAGAAACATGTAAAACGTAAAAAATGCTCGGTAAAAAATGTATAAAAAGCGTTCCAACTCCTGGAGGATCTATCGGCCGGAGTTGGAGCGCTGGGGCAGCTCGATTCGATTTACGGACTCCGTTAAGCTTATATCATCCGTGGCCGATGGAAAGTAGAGAAGAAACTTGACGAAACAGAGGGAGAGAGAGAGAGAGAGGAAAAAAATGGAGGAAAGAAAAGGAAAAACCTCGAGCGGATTACGACGTGCCGGCGTGAGATCCACGGTGGTTACGGCAAGCCTCCATTGTGACGACGAAGAAACCCGAAGGAAGTGGCTCCTAGCGGCGGCATATCTCGGCGTTTTCTCCGCGCGGTTAGACTGCGCAGAAGGTGCCTCGAAAAACCTCTCGATTAGTCGAGGTTGACACAACCGCTTCGACGGGGTGAAAGAGAACGATAGCCGGTCCTTTACGGCGTATCGTTGCACCTCCTCCCATGGTTTCCACCGCATATTAAGGTGACGTGAAAGTGGCGTCGAAGAGGTTTCCTTTATAAAACATTTCTCCCAACTGGATTTACCGAATAGCTTGAAACTTCACACCGTGAACAGGGGGACTACAAGGAGGGTCCTGAAACCCATGAAATTTCAATTCTTTTCAAATTTCTTTATGGGTATTTTAAAAATAGTTAATAAAAAAATGAAATTTCCCGAGTTTCAGGACCTACCTTAGGGTCTTCGTATTCACGCTTTAAAGTATTAAACGATTTGAGACAGCCAGTTCTATGAAAAGTTTCACGAAAGATTGAGCTTTCGGACGCCGCTTCCACATCCCCTTGAATCTCGCTCAAAAATGTATTTGGCTCGAAGCTCTACCGAGTTTCGTGATTTCCCCTCCCCGGCGACGAAGTAATCGAGGAACCGCCTCCTCCGGGGGACATCTGAAAGCGAGACAAGAGGGAAATTAAAATTCGGAGGGTTTCTCGTATATCCAAGATGGCGGCGCTTCGGTAGCGGTCCCAGCCCGAAAACCCAGGACTCGCTTCGTGTTTTCGCAGCAGTGGTGCATCCTCGTGACTCCTCCGTCCCGGACAATGGAAAAGGTCGCCGCGGCCTGACATTTGCCGCGGGTTAATAATGCGCCGCCGAGAAAATAATATAATCCACCGTCGATATCGAAAGGCGAGGAGACGAGAAGAGGGGCGCCGCGCGAGGGGGTGCGTCCGCAAAGGTTCCGAATTGCATCTTGCGACCGATCGTCTCTACCCGCCTTTAAAAGAAGGATCGATCAACCGAAAGAAATAAACACCCTATCTTAAGCCACGTATAATCGCAAGGAACAGTTATTTCCTTGGGAAATGATACCCTTTAGTTTTTTCAGACGTACGTTCATTGTGGATTTCCTTACAGCGATGCATACTCCTACGAGATGAACTACCGTTTATCTTTTTTTTTTTTCATTCTCTCCATTCTACCTTTGGGAGTCGTGAGAATCCGCCGATTCGCCTCGCGGGGACTCCTTCGCGCCCCCTTACGGCGAATCTCCCGTGAAATTGTCTAAAACGTTCGAACGCTCGAACCGTTTCGAACGTCGAGCGCTGAACGGTCGGCGGGTATGGTGGAAGGGTGGGGGGAGCGAGAGAGAGGCACCGCCGGCCGGGCCGGGAGATCGAGAGAGAGGCGGCGATGCGGGTGACCGGGCGAGCGAGCGAGAGGCACCGAGGCGGCCGACCGAGGGAGCGAGAGAGAGGGAGGGAGCCACCTCGGCCGGTGGGCCGGCGGCTCGGTGTGCGCGCTCGCGAGCCCATACCGACGTGCGCGCGACGGTGTGCGCGGCGCGCGCCGCCTGGCACGGCCAGGTACCAAATGCCACAAGGTCACGAGTTACGCGCAACACATAGAGAGCGCACTCGGCGGACGGGGGGACCGATCTCCGGAAACTTCGCGAGCCCTCGAGAGGCGCCGTTGCCTAATCGGCACGCGAGACTGCGCAAATGTCGCATCTCCGCGCCACAGAGAATCGACAAAGGAGCGGAATTAATTCTAGAAATTGAAAACGACCTTCCGAATCCGACTGGACGATAAAAAGAGGGCCAGCTCGGAACGCGTCCGACCGATGATAAGCGCGTATCGCGCCCGTTAGCGCAGCCATCTTCTAATTGTCCGTCCGGCGGGTCCTCCTCCGCCGTCTTGAATTAGCCGGCAACAAAGAGCCTCTTACGGAGGCCTCTTCCTCGGAATCCGGGGCCCGATAGCCTTTTCCCTCACGATTCCATGGCATAACTGTATCCAGGAGTCCTCCTTGCACCCAATCTGGTTATACATTTTCCTCTCAAAGGCCAGGCTAGATTAACTATAAAGCGTCAAGTAATATACGTGCTTTTCTATCCGTATATTACAACGTATAATACGTCCCTAGTTTTTTACGCAGGCAGGAAGTATATAACCCCAAACGAAACGTTCAAAGCGCATGCGCAATATCGTCAATAGCCAATGAGAGTCCACCCATTAACCTCTAAGAGAGATTCTCATTGGCTATTAAGGGGATTACGTTTGACGTTTCTTTATAACGGCTGATAACGGCTATTTGAAATCGAAAGATTCGTAGGCAATGTTTGTATCAAAATGTATATGAAGGTGGAGGACCAAAAAGTAAATTATGGGATGATACAAACGGACAAGATGGATGTTTATAACCTACCGGATACCGCATACCCTACGTCTCTCTTGTCCACCATATTTGATACGTTTTCTCTACTGGTTTTCTACGTTTCCTTCGTCGTAATATAAGTGAAAAACCTCGAAAATCGTGAAATTACCTAACCCTGTTAAAAGGTTACCAGGGAACGGCCGGGTTCGGCTCCGATCGTGACTTAGGAAAGCGACGCCATCTTGCGGAAACGTTCCTCAATAATGACGAAGCGTCCCCCTACCTAATTAACGACACTTTCGAGAAGATTGGTAAACCTACGGTCATATTTAATCGCATCAACGGCCTTGGTACTGCACCGAGACGAATATATCGGGCTTAATATCTCGACGCTCCGAATGTTCCGCGGGAAAACAGGAATGAAATAAATCACCGACGTCGTCAAATCGGCGTATAGGGAAAGTTTCGACGAACGTAGGAAACTGTACAGTTAGGTGAATCCAAGATGGCGGACTCGCGGGCTTCCGCCCGGCCAATGGGAGGGCGTCACGTGACCTAATATGTCCTGCTCGAATATCTTTTACGAGACACTCGGGCGTACCGAAATTGCGCGTCCCTGTCCTCTCCCGTAGCCATGAAAACGAACCTCAGGTAATACGCAGGAGGAAAGTCTCTCTCTCTCTCTCTCTGGATTCTAAAGATACTCGGAAAAATAAAAAGAACCGGGCCCCGTCCAAGGTATACGTATATGTCTTACGGCGCGATCCTCGGCCTACCGCTTCTGCGACGGGATGCCGAGAAAAGGAAAGAAACGAGCTAATTGACGTCACCGCGAGTGGTACCGAATGGTACCTCGCATTCTCACGGCGGGATAACCTCGCGCTCTCCCGCCTTGCCTCGTCTCCCGATAGGTCGCGCTCCTAACGCTCGAATTCCGCGGCCGTAAGCCGATGGTAATTGCCAGAAGGGTGAGCCCCCCCTCCCCCCCTCCCCCCGGCGGGAATTGCGTCCCTTTCGAATTATTGCACTCGCGTTACGGCCGTGTTATTGCGATACGCCGCGAGCCCGCTCACCTTTCAAACTGGCCAAGATGGCCGCCAGGGGGCGATGTTAGTCAAACCACTGATTATAACTTTATCGTCGGAGTTGGAACGTATCCTCTCCCGATAAATGATAGCTAACATAACATAACCAATATTCCCGGTGGATATATGCACTAAGTACCGATGCGACGATTGCTGATGAATTTATACCGTTCGTAGATTTTATGGATCTAGTGAGACTCGACCTCGCAAGATGGCGACACAGAGGGCGTCAAAGTCCCGTAGGTAAGAGGAACGATGACGCAACGAGTAAATATTAATATTTAAAAAAATATGTTTTAGGGTTCTGGGCGCGTATTGATTGATTTTATTTGGAATCTGAATAATTCTTGTTGTTAAAATGAGCGATTCCGATGAGACGGAAGGTGGACGACGGATCCAAGGCGAGAAGAGGAGGAAAGCTATTTTGGAGAGACTGAGTAGAGATTAATTAGATATTTGGCTTATATATCTAAAGGGGAATTGAATAATTAATGGTTATTCACATTTCAGTTAATAAAAAACGAATTAGTGAAGCAATTGACACGACGGATAAATGTATACCGACAGGTATCGGTGCAGTCGAAGCAGGTCCAGCTAATCATATAATTATGGGCATTCAGTTTCATCAACAGGACTATGTATATATAAATGTGAGATAATAATCTCACTTTCTATAAGATTCGTTATTTATGTTACCGATCAATCATCAGATTTATTTATTTCATGTCTACTGCAGTCCATTTTCGATCACCCGAATATTTTTGCACTATTAGTTCATTCGTTGTGCCCTAATCTTCATGGCCATGTAATGGTTAAAGCTGCACTGATTTTAAGCCTGTTTGCAAAGCAAGTAAAAAATGCTAATTTATGCAATAGTAATATTCATATATTGCTAGTAGGCGATCCTGGTTGTGGGAAATCGCAACTACTGCAAGCGTGTGTAAACATAGCACCTAAAAGTACATAAACATAATTCTTTCAAGAATAAACCTTTGTAAAAATAGAAATTAATTGAATAAAACCTTCAGCTTGCTATGTCGATGAGAAATCTTATCCATCGCTCCAATTGGGATTTGACGCAAAGAACGATTCAAATTATGAAACAGGGGCATTGGTACTTGCAAATGATGGATTTTGCTGTATCAATGAATTTGATAAGATTGCAAATCAACAACAGGTGCTTATGAATTGTAAAACAACGATAAACTCAACAAATTCTGGAAATACAACGTCAATTTATGATTCTGTAATAGGTACTTCTGCAGGTTATGAGAAGGCAACATGTTAATGTCGTTAAGCCTGAAAGAAAAATATTTGTACCTGCAAGGACTACTATACTGGCGACTATTACTCCAAATAATGGTTATTATGACAGATCGAAAACTCTGCAGGAAAATTTGAGTACTCATAAAAGACTTTTATCAGCATTCAATTTGGTACTAATACTAACCGATCGTTCAGACGAGGTATTGATTATCAATCTTTTTATTCCACTCGTTTACTAGAAAGTTTTCTGGAATTTTTTCATATTTAAAACAGGAAGACGATGGAAGATTCTTTGAGTACGTAATGAGTTTACGCCAGTGTAGTCAAAAATCGAAAAAAAGGTCAATTTGCAGTTCCTCAAGTTCGACAACTTCCAAAAATAATTGCGAATCGCATAATTCGTTAAGGTTAGAAATCTCTTCTTGGGTTTTATTCAAATAATTGTTTTTAGACGGTAATAATTATATATATGTTGAAAATTATATTTAATTAGGGAAAGACTATCTGCCAGGGAACTGCTTGACCATTTGCCTCAAGAATTGTTTCGTAAATATGTAGCTTATGCTCAACAATATATTGTGCCAAAAATACCAGAAACAGTCAACGATGTTATTAACAAATTCTATTTGGAGCTCAATGAAGAATACCGAAATCATCCAACGTCAGAAGTGTCATTTATAGATAATCAACTTTTGACCTTAGTTGAATTGACTAAAGCTAGAGCAAAGCTGGAACTCCGAAGTAAAACTACTCTAAGAGATGTTTTCGATGCCCTTGAAGTCATGAAATATGCTTCAGACGAGCAATTTGTCTTTCACACTTTTCCTAATGCGATTCATCCACAATCCAACCTTGGGAAATTAACACAAAATAAAGTAAGTATTTTCAACCTTTAATTCTTCCGATCGTAAAAAAGTGGAGCTACCTAAAGCATTTTTCTATTCCAGGCGAAACGATTTCTTACGTTATTAACAAATGAAGCGGCTCGGAAGCAAAAAAATGATTTTACTAAAGATGAGTTGTACAATATAGGAAGAAATGGTAACCTACAAATTAACAATATGTTTGAACTTATTGAGAAACTGAATCATGAAGGATTTCTCCTTAAACTTGGTTCAAAATCCTATAAATTAATTTCAAATTAAACATTGACAATGTTTCAATTCCAAAAAAAAGTTCTAATGTTTTGTATTATAAATAAATATGGTGATTCCCTCCACTTGTGTTGTAATTATGTAATGGCGATTCCCGATAGCTTTATTACCTAGAGAATGAAGTAATTAGCGTTCTTACAGAACTGCTAAAATGTTTTTAAATTAAAAAATTAAGGTATGATTATTCGTATATAAAATATTATCAAGTAACATTGTGGTTGAAATTTCGGTAACAATTCAGAACCTATGTAGTACTAGCTTCATAGTTTAGCAAAAAGATCAATTGACTCACAACATGAACATTTATTGAATTCCCTAACAATCGATATTTTTGCTTAACCGTTATATGTTGAGGAAAATGAAATTCTTGCGGAAAACACATAAGCCTTGCCACTTCAGTGGGGGTGAAGTATCGTAAATTAAGTTCCATTAGAAGTTTAGAACTCTGTTTCATGTCATTCTTATAAGTTTCCAGACACGCAAGCTTGTCCGTTATAACTTCAGTTGATAAAGGACAGTAAACCGAACCAGTTCCTTCTAAATATCGACCGTACGCTTTTGTGAAACAACAGGACCCATTTGTATTTCCTGTACGTATATCGAGAACTTGAATTCTTTTTTCCAAAACCTCTAGTGGCAAGGAATGCTCCGTGCTTGGTTCATTTTCCAAGATTCGATAAAGACTATAACACTTTCTACCATTTATAGGATTTGCGAAATTATCTTCAACAGCTAACGACGCATGTACACTTTTTGGTAATAATCGTATAAATTTTTCTGGTAGTGACTCAACTAAAGTAGAGTTATCAAAGCAGAATTTCATGTTTTGTCTTTTAGCGATCATGTAATATCGATGTCGTGTGTTTGGAATACCAAACTGGCACGGACTAAGTATAAATTCCTTGTAATTAAATCCCGAGCTTTCTATACAAGAAATCAATTGCTTTCTCATTTGTGATTTCTCAAATCCCTTTACATTCTCCACTAAAATGTACTTTAAACTTTTAATTTCTGGAATGAGTTTCAGAACATGCTGGAAAGAAGATGATCTGTTGTCGGAGATATCTTTCTTTAAACCGACTCTCGTAAAGGGTTGACAAGGAGGACTCATGAGAAAGCAATCGATATTCATGCTTTCTATTTCTTTCACATCGAACGACTGTATATTTCTATTTAAATTCAATGTGTGTGGAAAATTAAATCTATATACTTCATTCGACACAGGATTGATGTCAACCGAGGCAACGATAGTTCCTTTCGCTCCACTTTCTGAAATAATAGTAATCATTTATGATCAGTACATAATTCAATCCTTAGAATTCCTTTAAATTGCTGCTTTCAATAAAAAAAAAAACTGTCCAAAAAGTACAGAATAGTATTCAATTATATTGGAAGATTCCTAACCTTGAAAAGCGTAATGCATGCCGCCGATTCCGCTGTACAGCTCCAGTACTCGCATTTTGTCCGCTACTTAGATAACCCGATGTGTTTAAAAGTATCAAAACTCGATATGCTTTACGCGATTAAGTTAATTTGAGACGTACGTTAAATCTTTACGAAATAAAATTAAAGGTTACATTGCCTGAATGAACCGAGAATGCACACACCCATTGTCCAAAATGCCCGGCGTATTCTATTGGTTCTTTCCGATGGATCCGTTCCATCGGGCGGAGCCCTCTGATTGGGCGAAGCCGTCCGATACCGCCGAGTACCCAGGGTCTCTTAAAAAAGGAATTCGGAAAAGGGGGAACGATTAAAGGATAAGATACAGATCAATACATAAAGACTTTATGTCTATAATATCATTTATATTTTCTTATATTTTCATTTTATAATATTATGTCTATAATATTCCGAAGAATCTCGGCGGTACATACATGAAACGTGCCCTGGTGCGGCCACCTCGGGGACGTGAAATGATTAATACAAAAATTAATATAAAATTGGCAAATTCAAGGATTCTCAGCAATCCTGTTTAGGCAACATCTTGCGCGTTATTCTATTATAGCTGCATCGTTTGACTTAACATATGACACTCGTCACTACTTCTATAATGCGTTTCTCACTATGTTCTTTATTAGGTGTTTAGGAGGCCGCCATTTTGTCCCGGACGGAGACTGATACGAAACACCCTGGTCGGCGTTTATTTATTAATTAAATAATATCATTACGAGGACTTGAAGATCATTCGAGCGTCTTCCTGACAGGACTTCAATAGCACACGAAAATCACCAGAAGTAGGAGAAGGTGGGTCAAATCGATTCGGAAATTCGACGAGGCTCCACTTCGGTCCCAGCAGAAATTCAGATCGCACTCCGACACTGCTTTGTTGTATTTATTCTTCAGATACTCCCAGTCGCATAGGCCGACGTTGCAGCCCTCGAAGAGGATCGGCGACTCCTGCTGGTAGAAGATGACCTTGTTCGGATACTCCGGATTCTTGCACCTGGAAGTCGAATATTGGGAAGAATTAATCGTAATGAAAAAAAATAAATAAATAAAAAATTATTTTAACATGGAAACAAAGGTGGGGAATCCTGAGGAACCTTCTTCCAGGTACGCGGTGCAGGGTAAATTAAATAGAAACGGAGAGAAATTCGGAGTCTTCAGGGTCTGTTCTTCAGCGTCTCTTCTTCATCCTGGTGAAGACATCGGCGAACTTCTTCTTGGAGTAGACTTTTGCGAGCAAAATCTCGCCGATGAAGACCGAGGTTGAGACCAGATATCCAACAACCACGACGTTGAAGAGATGTCCCTTCAGGTCGACCGGCTTGAACTCCTCGCTCATGGCGGCGCTCTTCTGGGCCTCGGTCTGGGCAGAGAGGGTGCTCAGGTAATCCTTGAACCACTTGTCCTCGAGCCCCGATTGAACTATGTAGGAGATGATGCGGTTGATCTTGAGGATATAGGGGGTGCCCTTCTGCAGGGTGAAGGCCTTCGAGGCCGCCCAGAAGCAGGTTTTCATGATCTTCAGGCCTCTTCTGTTGCCCTCCTTCTTGACGTGGGCCACGACCCTGGCGACGGTCTCCTCCAGCAGGCAGGTCGCGTTTTTATACTTCAACACGTGGTCCGGACAGATCTTCGTGTTGATGAAGGGCTTCGTCTTCAGCTTCAGGTTGTAGAGCGCGCCGTCGCTGTACATGAAGGTCCTGTTGAAGAGGTTCGGATGAAGGAGAGGAACCAGCCCGGCCTCGTCGAGGTCCTTCAGGGTGTTGAACTCGACCTCGGCGTCGCTCAGGAGCATGATGTTCGTCAGCTCGGCGTACATGTTCGAGGAGTACTTCATGGAGACCATGACGACCATCCAGAAGACGAGCCTCTCGGCCGCCTTGGTCGGCTGCCTGGGCACGGAGATGGAGAACAGGGTGCAGACGATGTTCAGCGGGTGCCAGATGGAAGGGTTGAACCTGAAGACCGCCGACCAGGCCCAGAGCAGCAGGATCGCCATCATCGTCAGCAGGATCGCCGAGAAGAAGTTCGAGGCCACGATGACCGCCTTCTTCGGGAGGACCGGGACCACCGCGCAGCATCTCTCCGATCTGATCGGTCTGCTTCGCTGGACGGTGAAGTATAGAGCACCCCCGAAGAGGAAACCCGTGTTCATGACGATCTCTATCTTCCCCTGCTGCAGGTCCCCGTACATGCCCACCGCGGTCCCGTTGTTCATGGTGAACCCGTAGGTCTCCTCGAAGCGAGGCAAGACATCCGCTGTGAAGTTCATCTGCCTCGTCAGGGAGTGGAAGATCATCCCGTCGATCCCTCCGATGGACTGTGGGTGTCCCGTCGCGTTCCTCGTGACGATCATGAAGGGAGGATGGTGGATCAAGCCGATCCTGATCGGGTAGCCGTTCATGTTCTCCAGCTTGTCCGGGAACCAGATCGTGCCCTTCGAGTACCTCTCCTTCGAGTAGACCCCGAAGAAGGGGTTCAATCGGTGGATAGTCGCGTTTAGTAATTTTCTCTCCACTTCCAGAGGATCCTTAGAGGCTTCCCCGGGAGGCTGGACGATCAGCTCGAGGATGGTGCAGTCCAGGAATTTTTCGGACCACATGAAAGAGAGGAACGCTTCGAAGTCGCTGCCTCCGGACGGGGAGAGCAAGATCAGCAGGAGCAAGGGTCGAGTCCTTCCCCCGGAGAGGCGAACCAGGGTCTCCGAGAGGTTCCTTGGATCTGTGGGAATACTCGAACTCGAAGACGCGTGGACGATTACGAAGAGCGTCGTCGATCTCGAATCCTGCAGAGAGGGGAGTTTCTTGTTCTCCAGGGAACCGACCGCGACCTCGTCTGCCAGGCTCAGCGAGATCGTCGGGATGGTCTTCAGGATCTGATGGACCACTTCATCCTGTTCGTGGGACAGCGTCCCTTCTTTCATTTCCGGCCCCGATAGAAGGACCGACTGATAGGACTCCGTCTGCTCTGCGAGGCTCTTCAGGACATCCGATAAGTCCTCGAGGTGGAGGAGGCCATCCTCTCCGCGAGTTCCGCCAAGGACCACGAGCAAAAGGATCAATTCCCTCAGGATCTTCATCCCGAAGACCTTACCTAGGTCTCGACTTTCTTAAGGAATCGCTTCCTTGAACTTGATCCAGCGAAGGTGCCAACCCGATGTCCCTCGCCAGGTCCTCCACGCTCTTCAACAACCGTTCACGACTAATTAGCCTGATCGATATCGATCACCCTGAGCCACTCAGGCGGTATTAGTTCCGAGGACGATTAAAGGAATTGTGGCACCTCTTGGCAAACAGAAATTACTTGACTCGACCCTGAAGACCCATCGATTGGTAGTTTCTCTATTAACTCTTCCTCATGTGATAGACTATGAGCTCACCGATCAGGACGACGAAGGAAAGGGTGTAGCCTATGAAGAGGAGCACGAGGAGATTGCTGTCGCTGATGGTGTCGGAGTTGCTCAGGGTGTCGCGGATGGTTTTCTTGCTGAACTTGTTCCGGAACTCGTTGATCCACTTCACCTCGAAGCCGGCCTGCACGACATGAGAGATGAGCAGGCCGAACCTGTCCGCATAGGGTGTGTCCTTCGGGAAGGAGACGACCCTGGGGGAATTCCAGAAGCAAGGTCGCACGACCCTGAGGAGCGGCTTGCCGTTCTCCATGAAACGGGAGGCCTCGAACCAGCCGACCGTGTTCTCCACTAAGCAGGTCACGTTCTTGAACCTGACCGCGTTATCGAGACACCTGTCCAGGTCGTTCCACACCTGGGCCCTTTTCCCAAGCTTCGCCAGGGTGTCGTTGCTCTCGCCGAAGGTGATGTCGTGGAGCCCAGGGTGCACGATCGGCACCAGGCCCGAACGCTCTAGGTCTTCGAAGGTCCGGAAAGAGACCTCGTCGTCGTTGAAGAGGACCAGGTTCGTCAGGTCGGCGTAGAAGCTCGTCGAGTATCGGAGGGAGCCCACGAAGATGCAGAAGAAGACGATCCTCTCGGCGCGGCTGTGCGGGGTGCAGCTCATGGTCGTGCCCAGGAGAAACCTGAAGACGTTGAGGTAGGTCAGCCGGGATTTGCGGAAGCCTATCAGTCTCAGACCCAGCCTGACCAGGACGACCAGGATCGCCGTGATCGCCACCACCTGTACCAGGCTCCTGGATGCCATCCTGCTCTCCCTCAGGATCGGGACCAGCGGACAGTACCTGAGGAACCGCGTCGGCCGGCTGTACTTAACGCTCACCATAGCCGAGTTCTTCACCAGGAAGATGCTGCTGGCTATCATGTCGATCTTCCCCGATTCCAGACTCAGGTACAGCTCGCCTAGACTCCCGTTGGTGAACATCACGCTGTATCTGTCATTAAGTCGTGGTTCCACCCGGAAGGTGAAATTCAGTTTCTTGGCCAACACCTTCAGCATCTCGCCGTCCAGTCCACTGACTTTCAGGGCGTGTCCAGAACCGTTCCTCGTGATCAGGCTGTACGGTTGCCGGTTCGTCATCTCGACCCTGAGGAGATGGCCCTGCATGTTGCTCAGCTTGTCCCGGAACCAAACCATCGTCCCCGAGGGGTACGCCTCCTGGGTGTAGAGCTTGGAGAAGGGGTTGTACCGGTGCACCGTCGCCACGCTTTTTGGGGGATACAGGCCGAACTTGTCCCCGGGTTCCGAGAGGTCCGTCAGCTCGAGCACCGACAGATCCAGGAAGGACTTGCTCCACATGAACTGGAAGAAGCTCGACAGGTTTCCCACTTTTGTGGTCGACAGGAGGACCAACAGGGTGCGAGGTCGCGAGCAACCCATGGTCAAGGTGTCCATCACGTCCACCAAGGCTGCAGGATCTAAAGACGTTGCCGGACTCTTCGAGGCGTGCAGGATCACGAAGTAGCTCGTAGAAATCGCGTCCTGCATGGACGGCAGGCGGAGGGCGTGCAGGTCCTGTGGGATATCACTTCTTTAGGTTCTAAAGGACCGATGCAATTTTTTGAAATATTTATTTTATAGGCAAGGACACCTGGAAGACCTACCTGAAGATTGTTCCCGTACTCCAGATTGATGCACAGTCCTGGGGTCGCCCTGATGAGCCGCTTGGATATCTGGTCGATCCTCTTGCCCATCGTGTGCCTTATTTCCCGGTTGTCGATCATGATGATCACCTGGTAGGTGTGATTATCCTGCGGGATGCTGCTCAGGAGGTCCCTCAACCACCTGGGCTCATCTCCCTCCATGTTCTCGGCCCCCGAAAATTCATATCGAGCTCCCATGACGATCAGCGTCAGGATCAACCCTTTCATTTCGAGGATCCCTCCTCTCCTCTCGAAGTTGGATATTCCCGGGAGAAATTCCCCGTCCCAGGACTCTCCTGTTCCCTCGGGCTCCTTTTAAACCCTTATCCGTCTACGGGTTTGCGTTACCTCGCGCTTCCACGAGGGGATGATTTTTTTTAAGAAAATTATGGAGTAGGCATCCTGATTACAGGTGATGAGCACTCTCGAGGCTTGAAAGCTTTCCTCTGCACTTGATGGTATCACCAGAGCCCATCGAGGAAAATGGAAGAGAGTCGTGAAATACTTTTCCTTTTTTCTTTTCCCCCCTTTGAAAGAGGAACCCAGCCTTGGCACTGTTTTCAAGGAGTCGCCGATCAGCTGATTCACCTGCGAAACGGGAGCTGAGGATTAACTGTCTCACCTGTAAAACACGGCGACTATGTTCGAGGCGAAGGGGCCCAGGAAGGAGGTCCTCCACTTCCTCTTGGACATGCCGTTGTAGTTGGTCGCCGTGAGGGGCTCGCTGTCCTTGGCGATGCCCATCGTCGTCATCAGAAGCTGAAGAGGCGTGCTGTGGCTGAACGAGAAGACGCCTTTGGGCTGGCCCGAGAAATCCCCACGTTCCAATTTTCTGGAAAGAAAGAGAAAGAAACTCATCCCCTAGACCTCCAGGTGGGGAATTCAAGCGAACCGGAAGATCCTCACCGGAAGTGGTCGAACATGTCCTTGAGCGGTGGGCATCCCAGTTTTTCGTTCACCTCCCTTCCGTACCCGGAATAGTAGTAGCTGTAGAGGTCCTCCTCGTATTCCAGGACCTTCAGCTCCTCTTTGGCGAAGACTGCGCACCAGGGCGACAGGTTGCTGACCGACCAGGCCTTCTCGTAACGACACATGTCGTACATGATGAGGAGGGATGCTGAAATAAACGGAATTACTTGGTACCAGACATGTACTTGCTCGACAATTCTTAGTCACATGGGACTAAAACGTTTTTTTGTTCACCAGTGGAGATGTTATGCAGAAACCCTAGGCGTCTGCTGACGTTGTGGACGAGGTTCTCGAAGGGTGGGGTCATCATGAACTTCGTGTCCTCCTCTTCGATGATGGTGTTGTTCTCGCTAGTGGCCTCCCACGAGCCGCACGCCTTGTTCGCCTGTATACGGTGAATTTCTTTGTTTGTTCATTTTTTAAAATCAAGGATTGCGACTAACCTCGCAATAATTTATAATATTAATTTTGAGTAATCAGGCGGAGTCCTCTTACGTGCAGCAGGGTGTCGTTCCCAGGGTTTTCCTCGTGGGGGAGAGCCGTTCTGCTGCCGAAGAGGCCCTCCATGAAGAGCTCCATGCTGGCCCTCGTGCGGTCCTCGCTGGTCGTCCTGAACTGGAAAAATGGTATAAAAAAACTACAGTCCTTGCGGATCCCTCCTGGATTCGGCCTCGATCAATCATACGGTAATTGCCTTGTAATTGGCTGCCGTGATGTTCCCGGAATTCGGTTGAAGTAATTCCGGGAAATTACTCTGGAGCCTCCTGGCCAGGAGACGCATGTCCTCCTCTCCCTGGGCCGTCAGCTGTTTCGCCATCCCCAGGTTCACGTTCGGGTCCAGTCGCCATCTCTTCAGGTTCTCCAGGTCCTGGTTGCACAGGTGCCCGACTGCGCAGGGACCCGTTCATGTCAGAGTACGTCTCGCGTCTTGGCGGAGTATCTTTTTAATTTATCATTAATCCGTCTATTATATCTTATCAGCTTTTCTTTCTACCCACATCCACGATTCTCGTGACTGTAGACGATCTGGTCCCGGAGTTTCGGTAGGGTCTGCAATTTCGTCACCTCTGAACTCGAAGGATAGCGAGTGCCGTGCCTCGCTATCATCCATATCTGGATCGGCTCGCAATCTGATAAAAAGGTATGAGATTTCTCGGTCACTCCGTTTCTTTTTGTCTTTTTCTCTCCCGAGGCGCGACGGGAAATTAATTAGCCCATTTTCTCAATTCTTTCTTGCTCCTTTACCTGGGATGTTCTGGTAACGAGTCCTCCCGCTCATGACGAAGTGATAGGCCGTCTTCATCCCCATGAAGAGGTAGGGGTCCTCTTCCTCGGCGAAGCAGTAGTCGACGTCACGTGCCATCACCCCGGCTGTCATCAATGACAGCGCGAGCACCAGGGGATACATCGCTGCCAGGGGAATCCGAGAATAGGCTGGAACTCGACTCCTCTCTCCTGCGCAGTTGTCACGGAAAATGGGAAATAGGAGAGGATCCTTGACGGCTTCGAGGCGATCCTCGAGGCCGGTGCCTCGATTACGGGGAACGTACCACGAGCTATCGCGAGCGGTTACGCGACGTCGCGACGACTGACGTAAGGCGTAAAAATAATCCCCGGGAGCAGGAAAAGCAGGATTTTAATTATATATACATTAAAAAGAAAAAAGAGAAAAAAAAATGAAGGAGACGTCCAGGCGACCCTGGACTCCAAGAGACGATGCTGACGATCCTCGAGTTCCTTGGGATTTAAAATCAATAAATTGTCAAATCTTTCTATCTATCGAATTTTTCATTTCTGTACGACGTACCGTCAGGGTGGAGTTGCGCCTCCCGAGGGTCGCGACATCCTCGTCAGGGTCAAGGATCGTCCCATCGACCTGGAATTTCCGGAGGGATTCGATAAGCCAATTTCTCCGATGCTCTTTCGTTGGAAACAAACGAGGGGGGATCGACTGAATCGACGATTTCAGACACGAGGTCTCCTCCGAGTCGGTGACGAAATACCTGGCCCCTTGACGAAGTGGGTCAGCCGAGCTGGAGATTACTTGTCACGCCTTGAAGAGACCTTCGGCCCGGTCGTTCCACTGTCCTCGGAGGGAAAAAGAGAGAAACCGCGGAGGGGGACTCCTCCGGGCTTGAGGAGACTTCCTCGGAGGATTTCGAAAATTCCCTCACAAAACACGTCTCAGGAGGCAAACGTCACTTGCACGTGATGGCGATGACGACGATAGTCGCGCAATCACTCTCTTTCTCTCTCACACTCGCGATAACAGGTGCACACAAAATCGAGGATCATTAAGGTGAAGCGAAACACGTCGAGGAACTTGATCGACGTCGGTAAAACAGCTTCTAAATGCCTACGTTTTTATATCGACAGCTGTATCGAATTATATTCGGTATTGTACTAAATGGCACACTCCACCTGTCGTATTCGTACAATAATTATAAAGAAATCCAAGTAAATGTCAACTAAATTCATTCTCTGAGGCCTCGTATTATCATTGTTTAAGCATACAAGCGCATAAGACATTTTTCTTTGCCCTTTATCCCGTTCAAATGCAAGTTTCTCGATTACCAGAGTGCCCTGAACTGTCGTATAATTGTCATGACACTTTCGTTTTTCATATCAGAGCCTTTAATAATTGGATATCGATCAAAATATCAGAACTTGACGCCTCTTTAGTTCTGATCCGGGCTAAGCTAAAGAACTTTTTCCCAAAAATCCAAATTTTCAAAGTGACAAGTGTCACCTTAGTGTCCTAGGTACTCACTAGCCACGTGTCAAACCTTCGGACAATTCCACCCAATACCCTTAAAAAAGCGTGTCTTATTCGAGTCGACTGATCCTCGCGGGGTTTCACTTCACCTTAATACCTGAAGGAAAGTTATTGCAATTATTAACACCCGATAAATGTTGCTTTTTTCTCTCACACCCTTCTAATATGATAATCCGCGTCCGGGGATGTAGTATTCCCGATTGATAATTCATTTACAGAGATTCTGGTAATCATCATCTCGGTTACCTTCGAGCAGGTCGCAGGGTTCTCACATATCTCCCTCTGAATTCTTGTTCCCGGTCCCTAGGGACGAGTGGTCCAGGCCTTTAATTCCCTTTTTTTCCACCTTTTTTATAGATGCTTTTTTAGATCCCTCCTTGTCGATGGCACTTAGGAATCGCTCGGAATCCTGGAGAGCCGCTCGTCGGGCCGCTCGACATCTCGGACTGGCGAACGCTCGCCGGCTCGCCGTGGATAACGCTACTTTTCTCGGTACCCTCTGTCTGTGTGCGAGGTTCAGGTTCACACACCGAGATACCTCGTGCACGGTCTCCGTGCACGGCCGTGACCACGCATACGAATTCCCCGTGGACGTGTGCGAGCCTTGGAACCCGATTCACCTTCTCGCCCGGTACTGTTAGGACGTGGCCTCGACGACGTCGCGTCCACTTCGGGTCTTTGGGAGAAAAAAAAAAGGAAAAAAAAAAGAATAAACGTCGGACGATTAAGAATTTTTCGGGGATCGATATTTTAATAAACTGGACATGCCCTCGACTAGGAAGGAAGAAGTCCGCTGCAGATCTTATTGATTTTCATATATATTGGGAAAGACAAAAATCTGAGAGACGCATGTTTTTTATGTTTCTTTATCTGCAATTGTTTATATGTAAGGGGGGAAACAACCCCCCCAAGTTTGGCGGAAGTTCGATTTTTATAATAATTTTCGGAGAAGCAGCGGAGGGATTTTGATGATACTTGACATAAATGTATTTTGTATGAGGATGGTGATAACATAGTATTGTCCAGGAACCACCTCAAGGGGGTGAACTACCCTTCAGACGAAATTTTTTTTTAATATCTATTAAATAAGCATTCCTACTTAAGTTCCACTTCCGCCATGGGATTGATCACGAAAAATGAAGAAATACATGTATTTTGCATTTTGCCAATAAACATTTATACATCGGTTGAAAATAATGGATGTAGGTGGTATATGGGTATATCCCGACTATCTTTATCATTAATATTCATTTATAATAATCTTTATCGTATAAAATCATTCATTTTGAGACAAATGCTCTGGAATAAAAATTAATGAATTATGCAAACGTACATAATTTTATAAAATAAAAAAAAAGCAAATTGGAGCGAACATTAAAAAGATCTAGGCTTAACATTCCAGTTTCCCATACATCCCACGGATAATTTTCAATTTTAATCTTATCAGGAATAAGAACTACAGAAACGTAAAGTGTCGAATTCATGTAATTTACCTCACGTGTGAAACTAGTAAAGTAAAATACCTAGGAAATTACTGTAAAAAATTACGTAAATTACCTAGGGTATTTTAGTTACCCAACCCTGACGTGGGGTCATCGAACGTGGTTTTTGTATTCCACCTGTTGATTCATTCATGCTTTGTGTGCGCGTTTCTCATCTGGGTCAAGCTTAATGCACCGCCCACGGACTCGCTGCGCTCTACTATCAACGCCTACGTCCACGAGCAGTTGATTTTCCTGCAGTTTTTATTCCCCTAATTTTCTAATAGTTTCGAGAGATTAAACAAAAAAAAAATAAAAGAAAAAAAAGGGGTAGTCATTCGTAGTAGGCGCCAACCACGAAGCAGGTCGCGCTGAAGGTCTTGGAGGTGTAGGTGTAGGTCGAGTAGTTATCCCTGGAGACGTCCCAGAGGAACCCCAGGACGCTTTCGAAAGTCTGGCTCTGTCTCTCGACAATGGACACGCCGACGACCACTTTGTACCTGTGTAAGGTCGCAGGTAAATTAATGAGAAGATAGAGAATCTTATTTCTCCCACCTGTCGAATTTCTTCTTCAGGATCCTCTTCCTGATCTCGGCGGCGATGTCGGAGCACAGGTTCGCCCCGTTGTGGACCTCGGGGTCGTAGACAAAGTCCTCGAGCTGCAGGTTCATCACCTCGAAGATGATCTTGTCGACGACCTCCGCGCTGTACCGGTTGTTGGGCTCCATGCGGTAAGAGTTCTCGTACACCTTCACCTGGGCGAAAGAAATAGATCCCGGTTGCTGTTGGCGGGTATGAATTTTTCCCTTGTTCCTCTAGGTCCCTGGATAATTTCCAGGCACCTGGGGATGGGGCAGGAAAATCCAGAGGATGAGAAAAAAATTCGGCAAACCTGCTCGACCTGGTCGCTCCCATCGGCGCCCTCGGGCTGCGCCATGGCGCTCCTCTCCCCCTCGGGATCGACTCTGCTCTTCGGGGTCCTTTCTTGCCTTGTGGCTGGCACTTCTGCAAGTCCATCATCCCGTTAACTTCCAATCAATCCGCGGTCCGGGGTGAATTAAAAAAGGAAAAGGGACGAGGGAAAACCGAGGGAGAGGCTCATCGATTACACGACTCGTCTCGGTGCCGAGCAACCGAGCCTCGCTCGATCCAGGTCGCTGATGCGAAAACGACAGCTGGCTTTCATTTATACGATTTATACGATCCATGCAATTAATGATTATCGAATTACTCTGTTTCGCCTTGGCTCGCTGGCTCGAGGTCCCGACCATGTCGATGGATGACGTCTCCTCTACCTCCGCAGTACTTCTCCTCTCTCTAGAACTCCTGGAATTTTTTTACACACTTTCCGGATCGAACACTTCCGGATATTATTTTTTTCCAGGCCTACGGGAGCCTCTAGGTAGACGATGTATTTTTATATTCCCGAATTTCCAGGGTTTAGGAGAGGTAGAAATTATTTTCCCGGTGGGTGCGCGCCGAGGACTGTCCCTCTCTAGAACTCCTGGAATTTTTTTACACACTTTCTGGATCGAACACTTCCGGATATTATTTTTTTCCAGGCCTACGGGAGCCTCTAGGTAGACGATGTATTTTTATATTCCCGAATTTCCAGGGTTTAGGAGAGGTAGAAATTATTTTCCCGGTGGGTGCGCGCCGAGGACTGTCCCTACTTTGCGTGCTTCCACGTATGTACATGCTCGCGTTTGATTGGCGCACGTGTGCCTCGCGTTGCACATGCCCGTGTCGCTCGTCATGTTCTTTTGGATGGAGATGGAAACTCGACGAGAAAAATTCGGAGCAGGACGCCGGAGGATGGACGATTCGAATGACTAGACCCAGGGCGTCAATTTTATGCGTATAATTATTCACAAAAATTAGGGAAGGGAGGATTGCAAAGAAAATGCATTACTCGAAGCTCCGGGTCTGGTTGGGACCCGAATGCAGATATAAGATCCACGGGACCGTATCCTGGCAGGATGTGGTCCTGGACATGGTCCAGGGGACCTATACATTAAATACCACGTCATCTATGACGGCTATCTTAGAAACTTATGTACACCTAATGAATAAGTTACATATTAAATAATTTCGCAGGTCGAGGTCAGGGAGCTCCCTTCGTCGGAGGGGTCTCTTCAGGGTATCCTAGTACTGGTCCACGACCTGGCGGACCCAGTCAAGGTAGTGCGAGACCCTGGTGTAGACTCCAGGAACGCCGGCGTGGCCGCAGCCGATTCCCCATGACACGATTCCTGCCAACTGCCAACGCCCATGGCGTTCGCACACCATGGGACCACCTCCGTCACCCTTGCAGGCGTCCTTGCCCTCTTCACCCCCGGCACAGACGAAGCCAGGGTGCAGATTGAAGCTGGGACCCAGCCTGGTCTTGCGCATCTGGTGCTCGCAGACGTTGTTGCTCACCACGGGGACGTCCACCTCCTTCAGGATATTCTGGTACTTGCCGAAGTCGCCGAAGGCGTCCTTGCCCCATCCCGTGGTCCAGCACCTGGGGAAAGGGGGAATGCATTAGAAAAATGTGAGGGACCACCTGTTTCCAGGGTACTCTTCGGGGCACCGACTCACCTGCTGCCGCTGAAGTCGTCCTGCTTCTCCGGGAGGCAGGCCGGACTTATGTGGGGGTTCTTCTCGAAGTCCACGTCGTGGTCCAGCTTCAGGATCGCTATGTCGTTGTACAAAGTCCCTGCGTAGAACTCAGGGTGCACGTAGACGCTGACGATGTCCCTCTCGATGTAGGGGAAGAACTCCACGTCGTGATTCACGTCCCACTCGCCGAGCCTCGCCCTGAGGTCGCGACCGGCGTGCGTCTTCACGCAGTGGGCTGCCGTCAGGATGTGACGAGGAGAGACCAACGTACCTCCGCAGACGTAGACGCTCTCGGTGGGGTCCTTCTTCAGGATCGCCACTTGCCATGGGTACTCTCCTGCGAGAGGAAGGTGAGTGACAATGCGACCAGGTCGATCGTTGACGAGATCGTTGTGGATAGAGGGAGACCTTACCGAACTCGGAGTCGCCGTCGACGTAGACCGGGGTCTTGATCCTTCCGTTGATCCCTTGGGTGTTCCTCACTCCGCATTGTCCAGGTCGAGGTCTACCGGGAGTGACCTGAGGGCGCCGGCAACACACGTGGCGAGGTCCGCAGACGGGAGGTCTTCCAAAATACCTCTACAGGTGCGGGGAAAAAATCGGAAAAAATTAGAATCGCTCTTCAGGGTCCTCTTCGAGGTCGCCCGAAGCTCTATGTACAGAATGGCGGGTTAGTCCCTTGAGTATCATGCGCGGGTTACTCTCGAGGGTTAAGGGATGAAAAGGGGTCAAAAGCGACAGTCGTTGGTAGTCTAGGAAAGTTGATTTTAAAGTGTCTGGTCAGAGCGAAGAACCATGTCTACACCCTCTTCAGCGTTAGTCCTGTTTCCCACAGTCGCGTCCCGGTAGAGGTTGTTAAAATTCAGTGTCAAGGTAGAGAACAGTGGTTCCTGTCCCATCATCCCCAAATCTCGTCATCCGTTCCTGTGTTTCAGTGAATCTGTAGATCCGTAGCGGTCCAGAGATCGTGGTCGTCATTTCTTTTCTGCAACAACTCGATGACTCGATGATCGACGCCTCTTGACACCGGCATTTCGCCTTACCTCCTGCACCTGCACGTCATCGACAATTTCTCTCTTCCTCCTCTCTGGGAAGGCTACCTTGCCCTGGCCTCTACCCTGAAGCTGCACCCGAAGAGGAAGGTCCTTGCCTCCACCCTAAGGAGTCAGGGTGTTCGTTACCGATTCCAGGCAAGAAAGAAAATCTGAAACTTTCCCAGCAAATACGTACAACCCCGGGGGTGGCGGTGATATTTTTCCTAGAGCTTCTGAAGAAGTCGTTGTAGTCTTCGTAGTCTTCCTCAGGGTCCTCTTCGTAGTCGTTCCCCTCCCTAATGTACCCACCGTGTCCGAATCCACCGTATCCATTGTGTCCCTGGTACCCATTAAATTCCCCATACCCGGAGAAGCTCTGAGGGGGTGGTCTCGGATGCTGAAGAACGTGCTGATGATGATGTTGATGGAAATGGTTCTGGTGCCCATTGAATCCCGAGTATGGCGGCTTGATCGGATAGTGTACGGGTTTTTCAACGATCAGGGGTTTCTCATAGACTGGGCCATGGGGGTAGTAATGGGGGGCGTAGTTGCCCCATTGCGGCCCCAGGAGGGCCTGCTTCTTGTACGCCAGGAAGTCCCCGACCTTGTTCACCAGGCCCTGGTTTGGCGTCACGTGGAGGTTGACGAAGGGCTTAACGACTTTGTCGCCGTACTCGTCCTTGGTCACCTGGACCGACAGCAGGGGGTTCACGGAGACGAGGCCCAGGTTAATCCCCTGCCCCCCCGCCCCGTACCCTGGATATGGGTTCGCCAGCACACCCCCTCCGTATGGGTTGACGGGGTACGTCCCTCCTTGACCCTGAGGAAGCCCGAAACTGACCCCCCAAGTCGGTTTCACGTTCAGTTTCGAGGTGTCCAGGTTGCCGACGATCAGCCGCTGAAAAGAGAGTCGTCACGTGGTAGAGAAACTCGGGAGCAGGCGGGGATTGCTACTCTCTGGGGAATTCTGGGAACTTTTGGGACCGTTCAGGACCTTTCGGGCCCTTCCCATCCGGGCGGTCTCGGGACTCCCTGGTGGTGAAATGACTATGAGGATGAGCGAACGACGGAGGACTTTCTCTAGACATGACTTCCCTCTTTCCACTGCCGATGACTGATCGCCATGATATGGACCTGGACGCAAATTGCGATCTTCTCCTTATCGGGCTTAAATAATTTTCTAGATCGTTAAGTGACTCTCTTCGACTTCCTCTTTAGGTTTCAGGACCTCGTTCTCCAGGAATGGAGGCGTGATCGCCGATCGGCTTCCTTCGTCTCAAGGATGCAAGAGAGACGAAGACTCCTCTTCTTCGTCGACGTGCAGTCTCAGTTTCCGTTTAATGCCCGTTTAATTCCAGCAATGGCCAGGAGAGAAAGTGCAGCGCAAAGTACGAAGAAGTGTTAGAAAGTCGAAGGACCGTCGGGTGCGAGAGGAAGAGAAAAGAGGGAGTCCCGGGCATGGGACAAGCGAGAGAAAGTGAAGTGCAACGTTAGAAGAGGTCCCGAGTCCACCCGGTCGGGCCCCAGGTCCGATCCAAGCGAAAGATTCCCCAGCTCCGCGATCTTCCTCTGGAAGAGGGTGAAAAAAAAGTTATAAGAATGCCGCAATCCGACAGGACTCACGCTCTGGCCTTGGACCTTCTTCAGGTCCTCCTGCTCGAGGTGCTTGACGTCCCTCTTGGTCCTCGATCCTGCCTTCTCGTTCCTGGAGCCTCCGGTCAGCTGTTTCTCCCCATCCTCTCGCTGGGTCTCGTTCTTCACCTCCTTGGGCACCCTGACGACGCTGCTGGTCCCATTTCCGTCGGTCACGACGACTTCCACGGTCTCGGCCTCGATGTCCTTGCCCAGGTTCCTGGGATCGATGGCCAGGTACAGGTCGTCCTTCCTGCCCAGCTGGTCCACGGTCGCGCACTGCTCGTAAGGTACGCAGACGCAGTCCTCGTTGGTGCTGGACGAGAAGCCGTTGTCGAAACCGGAAGACCCACCATGGGACCCAAGATTACCGGAACCAAGATTGCTGGATCCAAAGTTGCTGGACCCAAAATTACTAGACCCATGACCAGAGCTACCGAACGCGTTGCTCGAGCCGAAGCTGCTGGACCCGAAGTGGTTGCTGGATCCCAGGCCCCCACTGGACCCGAAATTGCTGGACCCTCCGAAACCACCGTTGAACTGCTTCCCGGTGTTGCTGGACCCACCGAAACCACCGTTGAACTGCTTCCCGGTGTTGCTGGACCCGGAGAATCCCTTGGTCGAGTCGAAGACACTGTCCCTCTTCGGCTTCTCATAGGAGGGGAAGCGATCGGCATAGCTGTCAGACCCACTGGAAAGAAGATTGCTGCCCGATCCTGGGGCCTTAACCTTGAAAGCCTTCTTGTACCCCTCAAAGTCCGAAAACGAGCTCCCATAGGTCCCTCCATTTCCATATCCATATCCATTGAACCCGTTGTTACCTGAAGACAAACGTTTATTATATCGTCATCGCTCCTACCTGATCAGTGAACAAAAATCCGTGATTTGGGTAGCTTGAAGACTACCCTGGAGAACGGCCATCTAAAAATGATTACCGATGGGTCCGGGCCCTATTATGGGGACTGCTCCCGCCCCGTGTTCTCCCTCTCCATGGTGGAAGTGGTGGTGGACGTGCTGCTGCACCGCTGCCCCAGGTTGCTGAAGAACGATCTGCTTCTTGTCGATGAACTTGTCCTCGAAGTCGTACTCCCCGTCGATCCCAGCTTCGTACACGGGTTTGGAGGTATGGTGGAGACCCGGTTTCTTGAACCCTGGGTAGGGCCCAGAAAATCCAGGGGGAGGATGGGACGAGATGACTCCAGGAGGCGTGAAGTGGGGCCCGGAGAACGAGGGGCCCGCGAACCCTGGGGGACCTGGGTGGAACCCTGGGACAGGGACAGGTTTAGGGGGTCCGTAGGGTCTTTTTACGGGAATCGCTGGCAATGGTCGACCCACTGGCTTGATGGTCACCGGCTGGGCGTAGATTATGTCGTGGGGGTGGATGTCTCGATGGGGGGAGTAGAATGGCCGCCTACCCTCCGCGGTATCACACTGGAAAAGGGTTAATCGTCACTCTTCGGGCCTCGCTTAGACGGGAAGTCAAGATCGATGCCACCTACGTTCATCAGGCCCAGGGAGCAGAGTTTCTCCCTGATGTAGGAACGAGCTATGGTGTCGTTCCCCAGCTGCAGGGCGGTCTTCACGTCGGGGTCCGCGTAGACCTCGTCGAAGCCCTCCAGGTTCCGGCCCTGCCGGTTAGATACCAGAATATCATCGATCACGGAGTCCACCTGGATAAAGAAAAAAGTATGGACCCACTGATTGACTCTCCTGGTCCCGGAGTCGTGAATAAAAAATCCTGGACTAAGGAGTGCCGGACGGAAACTGAGATTACCGATTGCTGGGAGTACTGCTCGGCGATCTGGCCACCCGAGGTGGACTGGGCCCCTAAGTGGTCCTCGAATCCCTGAGGCTGTTTCTGATCTTCAGGGCCCGTGAAGGTGGATGGGTGGAAACTGTCCTCTTGACTGCTGGGGGATCCTGCGAGGTCCTGACCCTGCCAGGACCATTGCTGGGCCTGGTTGTTCGATGCCGAAGACGACTGAGAAGATGTCTGGAAGGATACTTGGGTGGCCAGAGTCTGGACCACCAGGCCCGCCAATATGACGAACCTCATTTCTTTTTTTTCTCTGGAAATCAAGAAGGATAACTTGAAAAATATGTATATATTTTTTTTTTAATAATATGTAAGTGTAATTTTTTAAGTTTGGGATTTAATCCTCAAGCGAGATAGCGACTCGATGAGGCCCGAAAGAAATCCCGTCTCTCAGGTGGCCGGCAATTTCTCCGGCTGAAAGATACCTCGAGAAAGTGCATCCTGCCTTTCTCTCCCGGGAGTTTATTGTTTCTCCGTGTCTCTCATGTGTCGTTCTCGCGATTGTCGGGGAAGAAAGGGGCACTGGGATGCACAAAGAGGGGAAAGAAACGCCGAAGAAAGGAGCCGAATTAATCACTCGACATTTCAGGGGCCCCGATGAAAGCGAGAGCGAGACCGGAGAAAGTACTTCCCGAGGTTCTTATGTGTGGGTACGTGTATGTACACTCGATCCACATTTACTCGGCTCCTTCGGTACTCATTGTTTATGCCGGGAGAAAGCAATTGCGCAATGCAAAACGCTGGCGAGTACGTATAAGACACTGCACGTACGCACGTTGGGTAAGACCTCGGTTATAAATTGACTTTCCCGAACTTTTTAAATGCAGTTTGGATTTTAATTAACCGGGGATTAGTTGAACAGGCTCACTGGTAGTTCTCTTCGAGACCTCCGAGGTCGAGGCGTTATCCTGTTTAAATTTTTTTGCAAATCGGGTGGAGGTCTCTGCGTCTCGATTTTTTAGATCGGAAGAAAGACAACAGGTCGCGGGACATTTTCAATTAATTTAATGTGTCAATAACAAAATTAGGGGGACCTTATGGAGGCGGTAGATGGAGTGGGCACAGTCGAGGAGAAAGTTGCCGAGCCGAGTCGCAAAAAAATCGCGTAGGTGGATTGTTATTAAGTGGCCGCAAATAAAATTCTGATAACGCGAAGACACGATAGAAACTAGGATTTTGTGTTATGTTTCTTTTTTTTTTCCTTTTTTGTCTTAGAAGCGAATCTTACGTCTCTTTCGGGCACCTACCTGGAGGGACCTCTCGGACGACACTGGGTTTCCTGAGGAGCCGGCGATCCTCTTATATAGCCTACGGTTCCGGACGCGTATCCTTTCCCAGTCCAGAAACACTTTCTCCGGCTACGACGAGGCCTTCTTGTCTCACTCTCGGTGCTTTTACTCGAATCACCATTCTTATATACCAGGGTTCGGGGATGCTGGCATCGCCGCGGATCCTACGGTGGGGCGCAGGTGACTCACGCCTCCAACCGGACATCCTTGCCGATGGTCTTCGATTTTTCCACCGGTCCCAGCCACCTCCGGCACCCTCGTCAAAATTCCTACCACTTTCCACGAGCATCCCCTACACTCGAGTAATTTTTATAACGATCAATAATCCCTGTGATCCGAGATAAAAAATTAATAATCTCGCCGCCTCGAAGTAACCCCTTTGCTCGCGACAGGGGTACCGCCGGGTACGGATATATGTATTTTTTTTTTCAGTACGAACCTGAGGAGATAGAACCGCGGATATTTTTATGCAGCAGGCTAAAGGGATCAACTACATGAGGATATTTTTTTTATGGCTTGGATGTAGCGGGGAAGATCCCAAGAATTTTTATTAGTACGGGGAATCGGTTAGGAGGTTGCGCAGTCCGGGGCCTTCGGTCCCGAGGAGAGGTCTTTCGAAATCTGGGGCGTTTTTCGGTGATCCCGGTTCCAGGAGGGGATTTCGGCGCTTCTTGGATCCGGTCTTACGTAATGGGCGGTGTAAGAGAAAAGAAAATAAAAGGCATCCGACATCAGGAGAGCCGACCAACGATAGTACGCGCGCACCACGTCAATGAAGCCTCGTTATGCAATCCATTCCTGAATGAAGTGGCGCAGCTCGTATCCTGGATCGCATAATGCACCGGAAAATGGATTTCTAGTTCTCTCTCTTCCCTGCTCGAAAATGATACGCGATGCCGTAATCGTTCCCACGTTTCAAAAGTCCAGCTAACTCGAGATCGAAAGATCGATCGGAGTGCATCGGAGGAGTAGAAAGCTTGAATTTTTTGGCGCATCCTCCGGAAGCCATGCTTTCCAAGTGAAATCGAAATTTCCTCGCATGAGAGAGGCCAAGGGCGGGATTATTCCGAGCAGACAGGTGGAACAAAGAGACGGAGGTGATCGACGATTACAATCGATCGTTAGGACGTTCGATGATCTCGATGCCCTAGAAAAAAAAAAAAAAAATCATCGATAACTCAATGTCGACTCAAAATCATCAGGCGAGAAAATCGACTTTTACGCACGCTCTTTTTTTAATTTCTTTTAATATTCCTATTTAATTTCAGAGTGATGTATTAATCCTTGTATCTACTTTCCGTATCAATCCTCCGGTTCGTTGATCGCTCCTCGGCCCTTCTCTCCTCCCAAGCGACGCCATTAGTCGAAGGTTTCGGGTTCCGGGAGAAAGTGTTTCTCCCGGTTGCTCAGGTCGATGGACAGGAGGACGAGGAAAGAAAAAAAGAACCTGAAAAACGAGCGGAATCGGACCGCGCGTGAAATGCAACTCCCGAATGCATCGGTGCATCCGCCGTGAAGGGCCGATAGGGCTCGCAAGACGGGGGGGAATTTTTTCTTTTAATTCGCCATATCGTGATTTGCCCCGTTTCTATCTCGGGAATTACCCTGAAAAATGTTCACGGAGAACAATAAGGGGTTAAAAGTTACAGACGCCTATCTGTTGGATACGTCTCTTCGCGATACTGTTAAAAGCTGCCCCATTAAACAATTAATTCAGCTAACTTAATTTTCTCACGTGTAGCAGAAACATTTCTGTAAGAGCCATCATCTGTAAATGCAGCTGAAAATCGCTGTTAATATTGACAGGGATGTTTGAAGCATTATAAAATTGTAGGAGCAACAAAAAGTATCTGCTCATGTACAGATTCACTCTGTTCGGGTAATCGTTTTCGGGGAGGTTAAACATATTGGGAAGCATTATGAATAAAATATGAAGATTTCATAGGTCGAATCTGTTAAATCTACAGATTTCTTACGTAGAAGTATCATATGCAAGCATCTACATTAACAGTCAAAGGTGCGTACGAGCAATTGCGCATCGAAAATGTCTTTCTTCTGTTGAATGACGCGCACGATGCCTCGATCAACCTCGATGACAATAACTCTCGGTCCCTGTTCAATTTTAATATTTTCACATTAATTATTCTCTCCATAATATATAACTTAACATTCAGATAAGTCAATCTCATTATAGGAATTTCTAAAAAAATATTAGTTCATGTTTTCCAGGGAATTCTGAAGATCGTGAGAAACCTTAAGAAGATCCTATATACGTGGAAAATTCAAGGGAAGTATTCTTTACTAAATTAAAAAAAAAAAGTTGACTGTTTCATAAATAAAGAATTTTAAAGTCATGTGTTACGCAACCTTTAAACTGTAACATTAGAGTGTTTATATTGGAGTTTCTAAAAATTCCTGATAATTATTTTAATGGTATACTTATATTCTATAGGTATAGTTTTTAGGTAAAGTAAGTTTTCAAGTAAAGTTTTTAAGTAAAGTAAGTTTTCAAGTAAAGAAAGTTTTAAAGTAAAGTAAGTTTTCAAGTAAAGTAAGTTTTTAAGTAGAATAAGTTTAACAGATTTCTTTCCTCCCTGTTGGAAAAGGTCGCGAGGAGTCCTTTTTACGTGCATGGTGATGCATGTCCAAGAGGTTCATCGATCGGTCGATAGCTATCGATCGCTGGGCCTCGATCGCTGAGCGCATCGATTGCACAAGAGGGTTTCCCGAGCTGTTGCAACCCGGGAATTTCGATCCACGGACCCAAGACTCACCATGAGACTTGGGCCTTGTCCTGACCCGATTCCGACAAGTGCGTAAGGCCCGGGTCGCACACGCGTGTACAGTTCCGCGAATGCTCGTTGCACAATCCGCCTATTCCGAGCCCGACGCCGTCTAACGACATGTGAACTCTTACACGGAGAAAAAGTCGCTGAAAAAAGACAGTCACACAAAAAATGAGAGCTTAAAAGTTACAGACGCCTATCTGTTGAAAACACCTATTCCCGATAAAGTTAAGGTGAAGTGAAACACGTCGAGGAACTTGATCGACGTCGATAAAGAAGATTTTTCAAAATACCCATGTCGCCGACGTTCGTTTTTATATCGACAGCAGTGTCGAATTATATTGGGTATTGTACTAAATGGCGTACTCCACCTGTCGATTTCGTACAATAACTATAAAGAAATCGAAGTAAAAATTATCGGACACTTCATTTGGTATCAAAAAACACGAGAAATTTGTCTAAAATTTTCGTTCCGCTATTTCACTATGGGAGCAAAACGTGTGATTTTGATTTTAAATATTTTCAAAACGTTTACAACGTATTCGGCAGATAATATTTAAAAACCATAATACTTGTATTAAAATGAAACGAAATGTTTTGCATATCTGGTAGAAAAGTATTGTGAAAACACATGGAGCAAATATTATATAAATATTATAGAGATAATATTCTAAGGTAAACGTTTTGCAAATGTTTCAAATGTCTGGCAAATATTTACAAAGTGTACGATATCCGTTAAATATATAGAAAATATAGGACAATTATTTTGTGCTACTAGGGACGGCGATGGGTCTTCCCGTAAATTGCATTATAACTTCGGGGAGGGACTGCTAAATATTCCGAGAAAGTGACCTCGCACTTTCCCTCTCATTGCGCGTCCGAAGTGTCCGAAGACGGAACTCCATTGTCCGGAGGTTTTCCTCGACATTTTCGAATTTTTCCAGACAGATGTTTTTTTCTTTTCTTTTCTTTCTGGAGACACAAGTCGATTAAAAATCCATCGACGATTCCGCCGTGACATTTTCGGATACGCGAAAGTTCACGGGGAGAAAATCGCGTTAGGTTAGGTATTGTCGAGGCTTATGATATGTATTTAGGATGCGCCCACGCAGTTGTCATCGAAATGGCAAGACAAGTTCTGCTCGGACTCGCCGAGGTTTCCGGC